GCAGCCTGCTTTTTTGCAGAGGGTGTCCCCAGCCCCTGGCTCCTGTCAGCACCGCAACCACAAATGCTACGCACGTCCCCAGCAGCGTCCTCAGTTATGAAGGCACCACGATGTGGCCGCTGGCGACCATCAACTGCATAATTATAGCCTTTGTGTTCTCCAAGGGGAAGCCGTTTCGGAAGCCCATCTACACCAACTGTGAGTATAGCTGGACTCCCGTGCCCTTCGCAGACCGGTGCTCCCATCCTAAAACAGCACTGGCAGGGAGCTAGCTGAGACGGTGGTGCTCTCATTCGCCTCATCCTCTTAATCTGAGTGAAAAATAATCCTCTTAATATGAGTCAATCTGGCTAAAAGCCAGCGTAGATTATTGTAGTGGGAGCAGCGTTGGCTGGGTTTAGCCACGGACCCATGCATAACTCTTTAGCAAGGCCAGCAAGCAGGTCTGAGGATCATTTTTGTGCCATCACGGCCCCAAGGAAACAGAAGGACGTGCCAGCAGATGGAAAGTGCATGCATTGCAGAGGGCACCATGCTGTAATCATTGCCTGTGAAACACTGAAGAATCATTTGCTGAATATCCGTATCCACAAACGAGCTGTGTGCTGTCTCCGCGCAGTATGCAGCCCTGCCAGCTCTCTCCGCACCCAGAGCTGGGCAGAAGTGATCTCGCAATGCCCTCCTTGCCCTCCCTGTCTCGGCGCCTGCGGAGCAGTGCTGGGGCCTGCTCAGTCCTCGGCCTCCACCGTGGCAATGGACAAGGCTGCTGAAGGATACCGGTGACGTGGACACTGGCACCCAGATCCTCAATGGGGCCCCGGTTCCCATTGACCTAAGAAGGGGTTGGGGGCACCTCCATACATTTGAGCTATTAGGAACTGCTCTGCAACCACCAGATCCTTTGGAAAAGGCCAGTGCACAGCAGACCACCCCAGAGGGCTGTATATATTCCCTGAGCAATGCCCCAAACGACCTGGCCTCCAGCGCAGCTGCACTAAGACCCCCCACCCCTGCACGGGGTGTTGTGCTGAAATGCTCCATGTCCGCAGTCCCCATTCGCACAAAGGAGTCATGCACACGGGTCGGGGAGGAAATAGGGCCCACCGAGACACGTCTTGTCCCCCCAGGTTTGCTGGATGACACCACGGACGCCCCTTTTCCTGCCATGTGCGTGGGTAGTGTGCATCAGCCCGTATCTGCCACATCACGTGCGCAAATAGCAGGGATGCAGGGGGTTCGTTCGGTCTCC